GGGGGGGAAGGATAGAACAAAGCATGAGAGGAATGCCTCCTAGAGAAGCACCAAATAACGAAAAGAGCAGGGCAGCTTGCAGAGATGAGGAGCACATAATATTATCCTCCAAACAGAGCCTTTTTCATAAATTAGTTTCCAGAGAAGCTACTGCCTCGGGACTCCTTTTGCAAAGTGGAAATTCAAAGTCCTTAAAGGCAGCGAGCACTTAAGCTGCCCAGTCTATACAATTTTCTAAACCATAAAGTTTGAACGGTGTTGAGCCATCCCTCAAAGACTTTGCTCTTCCTCCAAACTCTTCTGCTAAAATACGAAGCTGTCACAGAGCCAAACACTAATCCATACATTCATCCAGTTTATAAACTGGGTGTCTCCGATACATTTTAGAATTACATAGCTTATATTACATACACTCAAAGACCACCATTCTACTCATTAAAACCAAAATTCTTTGTAACTATGAGTCCAACTCTGGAATCCCCATGAAAGCTACAAAGTCTGTACAGGAATCACATTCATATATGAACAGTATGAACTCCTGCCATCTTTGAACTATGTAACTCTTGATTTCACTTAAAAGGCTTCCATTTCCTAAGACTTCATTTGCCAGCAAGGACCAAAACAACACACTCAGTAGTTATGTAGTAGTTCCACATTTATCCAGCTGAATGACCACAAGCTCTTAAAAATCACGGAATTCTTACCCACATGCAAGCCCGTTCTAAGCACTGTTTTAAGCTACAACTGCTGTTTTGCTGTGCTTAAGACAGCACAGCTGATTAAAGAGAATTAAGTCCTAAGTAATGTTACAGTGGTTACAGCAATAGCATTTGGTAAAGAAAGATGGGTGATGCCAGACCACCTTGTTTTCCTTGTTTTTCCAAGGAAAAATTCTTGATACATTGATACCATTCCCATGTGAAAGCCAATTCTATAGTCTGAAATAATTTCGGTGACTATTTGCGAGAGGGGTGGGAAGTCATCTACCCAAAGACACATGCAGTGTATCACTGAACTCGCTATTTGATCGTTGTATAAGAGAAAAAAAACAACAAAACTTATTACACTCTCTAGAAGTTTAGTTGCAATCCGGATCAGCTGCAGACTGTGACCATACTGCTAGCTCCATAGCGTCAGCCAAATCAATGGCACTGCATTAGGTGTAAATTCCCTGCTTTAGGGTTAAGAGCTTTGACGATACCAGTTTCACCGCTGAGCTGGAGAAGAAAGCAGTCCAGTTTTCTGCTCATGAAACACAAGCGTATAAGCTCTGTAGATGCTATATGTAAATCCACTGTAATCTAGCTACACTGGAAACTTGTTTATTACTTAAAGTATAAGGTGACAAAAGGAGCAGCGAGAATTTTATTCTCTAGTTCAACATGGACATCCAAGCCAGTGCTGACTTTTGCTGTTAGCTGATAACGAAAAATGTAACTGAAGAAGCTAACTAAATGCTCACAGAATGTGACTTCAGAAATTTACTTTTTAAGTCTAAGGAGTTGTAAAACACTTCCAGTCATGTAACAGAAAGGCTGAGAGTCTTAGCATCTGTGTCCATGTTTTGTACCAAAAAGCTGAAAAACACCCCAAAACTATTAAAGAAATTCAAACAGTTTCCTGAAGAGAAGGCAATGGAGCCAGACAAAAGTCAAGCTTAAGACAGGAAGTAAAGGGGATGTCAATCAATGTTCAAGCTGATTTTACAAAGCCCTCCAAGGAAACACTTGTAAGTAGAAACAAGGCAGAAGAGTGCTGTAGGTAGAATAAAAACAAATAAAAGAAACGAAAGACAACTTCTTCCTCAGCTAAGCCTTCACCATCAACAGCTTGATCAAGAAAAAAAATCACTAAATAAACACACATACACACAACAATTGTTTCAGATGGATTTTCTGGGCACTTTGAGAGTCAATCTCCTCTGAAGTAAGACTTGATTTGGGATTTCTTGTTTGTTTTTTGTTCGTTTGTTTGTTGTAGGGTTTTTGTTTGGTTGGTTTTGTTTGATTTTTTTAAAACACACATACACCTGCAACTTCTGTTCTGCTTTTCTCTTTCTGAGTGAAGGAATGAGACAGCCATGATATAACTCCAATAGAAAGGCAGTTCCCTAAATATGCTAATTTAAAAGAAAAAAAAAATTTAATTTGGGAAAGTCAAAAGCAGATTAAAAAGTCCCAGTTAGAAAAATTCCACAAGGAGCAATTCCAACAAGCTTCATGCTAAGTTGATCTTCATTTAAATTTAAGGAAACCAGCTGGGTTTGCTTAAATGTCATTCTTAAAATGACATGTCTTGCTAATGAACAGAGGATAAATCCTAGACAAAGCACAGATACAGCGTTTGTCTAGAATTTAAAACAAGATGAGAATTGTAATACTGATGTTATACCCATTACCTAAAATGACACATGTTTTCTGCTTCAATCTGGTATTTTCTAAACAGGAATATCAACTTTTATTCCTTAACTGCTTATATTTTTCACACGCACTGGAGGAATGGGCACATGACCAAAACCAGAGCTCATCCAGAAAGACAGCAAAGCACAGTAAGGACATGTACAGGGTACACAGCTGCAAGACACAGGACGACCTTGGCCAGCTATGTCAAGGAGGAAGGGACAGAGAAAGCTTAAAAAAAACCCACAAAGGTCTCTCTTCTGATATGCTTTTGTGGTCTTTTACCACTTCTGAAAAAAGTTTTTAAAAAATCCCCTCAAAGGATTGTTAATTCCTATTACGACACTCAAGGGAAATAAAACAATTTTAACAGAAACATTTTACATGCCTGCAACACTGAGCAGGTCTGACCACCAATTCAAGTGTGCATAAGCCATGCTCACGTGATTGTCTTTGGTGGAATTGGTAGAATTTAAGAGGTAATTTTTATTTTTCATACAAAAACTTAACGAATTCAAGCTATACTTTGCAGTATAAAAAATGCTTTTCAAGGTTAAAACAGAATTTTAAAGTAGAATTTAATCAACAGGATCCCAAATGTCACACCAGGTGCCATAAAAAGCATCATTAACATAATTCTCAACAATAGTTTCCCATAATAATTTAAATAGATTCATAAGTAAACAAAATTCTTTGATACATGTACAAACTATGAGTGCTTTGCCAAATGTTGCACTTCTTAAAAGCACTATTCATTTTTTCCATTTCTGCTAATGCTGTGGTATTCAATTCCCTAAGCAGTCTTACTGAACCCATGGGACTATTTATGGCATAAGGTACTGCAATTAAGAGGGAAGAACTATTGTGAAAGAGTAAGGAGAGCAGAATTGAGTATATTGCCAGTTCTTCTCTTTAAAACATGTAAATCTGAACAAATGCCTCACTAATACCTCATTTTCGATGGATTCCAGTACAACTGAATCGAAAGCTGGTATTCAATTACACAGAAATTAAAGGACAAGCATTTTTTGCCGAATGCAGCCCTATCTATTCTGGATCTAGAAATGAAAGACCAATGTAAACAAGGGAATTAAACTCAGATTTCAAGAACTTTTTTAAAGGCAGCTTCCTCATTCACAGCCTAAAGCCACATTAAAAAAATCAAAACCAAACCAAAAAGCCCGCAGCCAGCCAGTTCAGATAGCAAGGGCTACTGCAGAGCATCAGAGTAGAAAGCACTCAGCCTTTGCAGACCCATAAATACCGCACTGCCTGCCTGAAGATGACATGCATTTCTGAGTGTCCCATACCCCCTGCCGCTGGTTTGCATTTCGGATCCTGTCTGTTTTTCTCAAATCGATTATTTATAACAGCAAGGCCTTATACTCTACCCCAAACTCAGAGATCATTTTTTCCTTTACAAAAGGCTCAAGAAACACTTTGCAAAATGATCCCCCACCTCCACCAGAGCATAAAAAGGAGCACCATTCACCAGAAGTATGTGAATTTGATCAAGAAATAGCAGCATGGGTTTCCCACCTGCCCTTTAACAAATGCCAACTAGGCAAAGACAGCCGCTATTACAACAGATGAGTAAGTAGAAAAACGAGAAGTAAAAAAAGCAAACAAAAAAAAAAACCACTAAAAATTAACTTTGCCCTGGTGGAGGAAGGTACATGCCAGTCAAGCACCACTTGCTCTGTGCAATGATTGCAGCAGGCGCAGTGCTGCATAGAAGGAGACGAGGATCCCATCCAGCCATCAACCCCAGGGAAAGCAAACCCCCAAACCCGCAGACTCTTCAGAAGCCATTCCCACTGCTCCTCACTAGACGTCTAATTCCTCACATTCACAAAATTACAGCTTAAAAACATGCTGCCCTCACTTCCTGGGCACTCCACACCCTGTACAAGTTTCCCTTCAGAAATACAAACAGGTCAGATCCGCAATGAGCACAAACCATCCTGGGCACATCAACTGGAAACATAACTGCAGTATCACTAATAAAATAACCTCTAATAAAAGAGTAAGGAAAATGCCCCCACTGACTCACAGAGCTCTTTCTGTTTTCCTTTACTGGCTATTGAACCTTACTAATTAATTACCATGTAACCTTTCTAGTTTACTGCTTTTCATCTTGACAAATTACATCATGTTAATCCCAGAATTAACTGGAAATAGTAGCGTTGACCCTCATAATCCTTGGAGGTTGATGTTCATTAGCACTAGCAAAGTCTGCATTAAATAAATATTTTTTTTAAAGTATCACATGAAGGATGAGGAGAAAAGTAAAAAGATCCTTTTGTGTGTGTGTTTCTCTAGATTTTACTACAAATCAAAGGGCCCTACTTGCGACATGTAGTCTTTGCCCTGAATCTGGTCAGAAACTAATGTATAGCAACTCTTTAGTCATTTGGGGCACTGGAAATATGCCTGTAGGGCCCTCCTATAGCACATAAACGTAGTGTTTCCATACCAGCAGGTCATCTGCCATTTCTGAGCTGACCACAGTGGCTGCCCTTTAGCAAATCCATGTTTGACAGTTTCTCAGCAGCTTTGAAGATGCTCAAACCACCACAGAGCCAACAGATAAAAAGGGATTACAGGTTTTTTTAAACAGCCTAAAAGGTCTGCAAGAATTAAGGATCAAAACAGGTGGGGAAAAAAAAAAAATCGAAATCAACCATTAAGCTAACAGGGCTAATGAATATTTGATTCATGTAATTAAATATGCCTCTTTTTTTTTTTTTAAATGTATGTGGAAATATAAAGAAAATACTCAATGGTTTGTTCTAAACTTTTCATTTTCATTTAAGAAATATCAGTCTTAAAATAATTGACAATGTTAGCTGGCAAGTGATATATGTTAACCAGTTCAAAGCAGGTTTGGATTCCTTCCCATGTCCTTTGAAGTGATAAAATTGTACTACTTTGCAATGCTTATTTGTCAAATGTTTCTGCTTTATTTAGAAACTCACTTCATTTCATCAAAATTCTCTCTACAAGAAGACAGCAACAGTCCAGAAACTGAAAACCATAAACCTTTCTCCATTTTTACTGAGGTAAATATGCAAAAGGAAGGGCGGGGGGAAACCCAAACAACAACCACCTTCCCAAATCCCACAACTCTCTCCCCTCTCTCAAACTCAAACCCCACAAGCTGATAAGAAAGGGGCCCAGGAATGGGGAAAAAAATAGACTGAATGAACAAAGAAATCTGCTATAGGTTCTTTTTTTCTTTCCCCTGTTGCAGGAGGATAACAACTTACTATCTGATTCTTGATTTTACTATACTGTCTTAATATAATCTAGAATAAAAGCTATTGAACTGATGTCCAATTATTTTTACAAAAGGATAAGGACAAGATTACCCATACAAGACAACCTAAATCAAGACAAGGTTCTTTGACATAGATGAAAAAGAGTGTTTTACACATCTGCATTTAAAACTGGCATGCCTAAAATAAGTCACCATCGTGAGGCATGGAGCTGCAAGAAGTCTTACTAGGCCCCAAACCCAAGAACAAGTGCCAACAAAATAAGCTTAGATTTTTTTTTTTTAAAATGTATGGACTTCCCCTGTCAGATTTAATAAGCTGTCCTGCCATTCACATTCAGTATGTTTTAAATGTTGTTGTATGTCAAGAAGGTTTCTGAAATCTGTTAAATTTTTTAATTTAAAAACTTTCAAACTCCATGCACTGAGACAAGTGATCTGTCTGCTCCTTGACATCAAAACCTCTACTGAGGATTGCAAGCAAAGACTGAATTCATTTCAGTTTCTGCCCTATTACTGTCGCTTCTTAGTTTTGCATCAACCTTCTTGTTCGTCCTGAATCTTGTTAAAGCAATGACTTTTTCTATCTAGGTGTAACACATTTTAGTGGCTAACAGGCTCTGTAAAATCTTCCCACAAACTAGAAAACCTTTTTTCCTTGATGTGTTTCAAGGACAGAAAGCTTCTTCCCTCACTTAACTGTATTTTGTGGTCAACTTCAATATGGAAGCCCACTCGCAAATTTTCTTCAGTGCAGGAGAGGAAAGCTAAGCTAGTACACATTTCACACTTCTAAAAAAATACTTGTTGATCACAGCTTGAACCATTCCCTTTTGTCTTTCTTTTTTTATCAAAAGTAGGTCATATTATGGACCAATAGACAGGACTAATGACCTCTTGTTACAGGACAAAATTTAAGGAGCCCATCCATCCCCTGACCAACAACCTATTTTCTGGGAACGTACCTCAGCCTGGCACAAAGTATCGGCATAAAATCACCCTGGAGACTGCTCCTACATGATCTGTGCTAACAGATTAAAAATTTCATGAAGCCATCAGGCAGAACCCTGGCTACAAAGTCCCCATGAAGACTGAGAATATGCATTTTTGCTTTAGCCTTTCGCGTCCAGAAAGACATTTGAGTTAATTGCCTCCCAGTGCACAATGAGAGTCTGAATCTCCCCTTCCTGTGCTGAGGATGCATCTACATGGAGAAATTTGAGAAAACTACAGTGAATGTGAAGTGTGCAGAGCACCTCCGAGTCATCTACAAGTATAACAAACTCAACTCAAGTTGGAGCTAAGTGGTATACTCTGATTACATACAGCATCTCTGTGAATCTGGTACAAACTCTCACTTGGACACAAGCATAGTTCAAGTGGTGCTTGCATAAAACACCGCTTATGTCGTTAACATCAGTCAACTGTGAGCTCCATAACAAAAAAAAAAAAAACAACCAAGCAAGCTATTTGTGCAAATTATGTATGTCCATCAAATCTCATAGTTTCCTATCAGTGTATTTACAAATACCAGGGAAGGCAGTTACAACCAGCAAAAATTCCGCTCTGGGCTAAAGAGGTGCCTATATCTGTTTTGAAGAGTCTGGCTTCCTTTTTAAAAGATTGATACAGAACAGATTTTCCCAGCTCATCTACTTCATGCTCTCTAAAGACAGATTGTTCCAGGGATTTATGATTACAATTGTCTAACTTGTTGGACATTGCTTGCTGGTTTTAAACAGAAACAATCTAAATTTGCTCTAACTACAAGGATGAGTGAAAGAAGAGGCTTGTTTCTGAGCAGACGCTCAACAGATTTACTGCCACAACACACAAAAATAATTGCTGCATTTGTTTTGTTATTTTTGTATAGCTGACCTACTTAATTTAGAAGTTACTTGTATTATAAAAACAGCAGAAAATTCTTAATAGTCCTAGGACAAATTCAGTAGATATGTAGGGTAGTCACTTCAGTATACCTATCCCAGCACTGATTTTGGCTTTATGTTTCCCAACACCTTCTGCTACAGAAGGTCCACAGGATACAATGTCTGAAGCACAGGCAGGGGTCTTAACCCAGTTAACCTCATCCAGTAGCTGTACGTGAAAGTTAATTTCTCTAAAATTTGATAGGTTTGCTGGGAAACGGGCCACAATTCCCACAATGAAACCTCTTCAAAGGAAAGAACCTGCCTGCCCATGGAAGAAGCCCAGCACACGACTTGGTACATCAGCAAGGGCCTTCTGCTGCTGGGCAGCACACGGAAGCCCTCAGAGCCCACCCTTTCAGGAGGACCTATTCCCAAGTCTCCTGAAACAACTTCAGAAAACTACACATATGCATCTGCCTTTCATCTGAGAGGTCCCATGTTTTCCTTCTCTTCTTGTTAGAGATGCATGAGTTTTTATTTCCACACCAGCATCATTATCACATACCTCCCATCAAATCATACAAACTAAGCACTACACTGTGGAACCCACGTGTGTTTCTAAAAAATAAAAGCTAAGCAGTTTGCAGGAGAATTCAGCTTACTGAATTAGTGAGGTTTTGTCTTTCTTTGGCTCAAATTATTACACAGCACTTACACTCACTAGAGAAGGAAAAAAGACTGCTGGAAAATCAGTACTTTGGAGTTTTTTGTTGTTTTTCTTTTCCCAAGGTTTTGAAAGCTTCTTGTTAATGTTTTGATCTGAGAAACCTTTCCAACAAGCAAACAATTTTGACCTCGGCATTTCTACAAAGAATTCTAAGTTTCATTAAAAGGCTTTAAAAAACCCTAAACCAACCAATCAAAAAAACCCAACAAACCAACCCACACATCCATCACCAATGTCCTGCTACTTCTTAAACACAGAGCCAGGAAGCTATTTGAAATCCTTCCTAACATTGCTCAACCGTCATAACAAAAAACAAAGTAAATGACAAATCGGCAGTAGAAAATGCATCTATTACAATAAACAGACCTCAGGGAGCATGGCTGGCAGCAGCCTGCAGTGCTGCTGAGGGCTGGTGGAACTAATGGTGTGGAATGAGAAACTGCTCATCTAAAATA